CGCCATAACTTGTGTTCTGGACAAACGGAGAAATATATGAGCAAAATAATTATTAATTTATAAGAAAATATTTGTTCAAAAACCTGAAATGATCTTGATCCCCAGTGAGTCGTGGCGGATGGCTGCTTATACTGAGTCAGGATCCTCTGGAGGTTTCTTCCTGTTAAAAGGGAGTTTTCCTCTCCACTGTCGCTGCATGCTTGCTCAGTATGAGGATTGCTGTAATTTGCTGGGTTACTTATGTAGGAAACTTTTTTTCTGATTGGCTTATTGACCTGACCTGTATTGGAATGTTTATTATGTGAAGGTCCTTGAGACGACTCTTGTCATGATTTGGCGCTTTATAAATAAAATTGAATTGAAATGTGGGGGTGCTTTTAAAGAGCAAGTCACCCCCTACCAGAGTATTACTCTACTCCCACTTCCTGTTTGAAAAATGCATCAAATGCTGTTGCCTAGCAGACTGAGAGGGCGGAGCCACTAACAAATACACACACATACTGGCCGTTTCTCAACATGCATACTTGTGTACTCTCAACCTTAAGAAGAAGAAGAAGAAGAACTTTTATATAGCGCCTCTCAAGATAAAAATCACGAGGCGCTTCGCAAAAACAAACAAACAAAAAATAAAAATAAACGTCATCAACGATGGCCCAAGGACTGTTCTGATCCTAAGTAAGCTTAATGGAAAGTTCACTCAAAATTCCCAGATGTGTTCTTGCTCCGTCCATTGTATCGAGGATGCATCAATGCATCCTTCTGCGGTCTTGGGACAGCAAAGTTTCCCATAATGCATTGCGTCGCAACAGTTAAACTCCGAACGTCAGAGGAAAAAGCTAATAACTGTAATGTTTTATTATCATTTTGAGTTACAAATCAAACAATATAAAGTTGTCTGTTATTGTAAATAATTGTGTCTAACCTGTAAATTTTGCTGTGTGTTTGAGTTTTACTCTTCACGATCCCATCCATCCATCCATCCATCCATCCATCCATCCATCCATCCATCCATTTTCATCCGCTTATCTGGAGTCGGGTTGCGGGGGCCAGCAGCCTAAGGTGAAAGGCCCAGACTTCCCTCTCCTCAGCCACTTGGGCCAGCTTCTCCGGAGGAATCCCAAGGCGTTCCTGGCCAGGTGAGAGACATAGTCCCTCCACCGTGTCCTGGGTCTACCTTTAGGTCTCCTCTCGGTTGGACGTGCCCGGAAAACCTCACCAGGGAGGCGTCCAGGAGGCATCCTGACCAGATGCCCGAGCCACCTCAACTGGCTCCTCTGGATGTGGAGGACCAGCGGATCTACTCCGAGCCCCTCCCGGATGACCGAGCTTCTCACCCTATCTCTAAGGGAGAGCCCAGCCACTCTTCGGAGAAAACTCATTTTGGCCGCTTGTATCCGTGATCTCGTTCTTCCGGTCACTACCCAAAGCTCATGACCATAGGTGAGGGCAGGAACGTAGATCGACCGGTAAATCGAGAGCTTCGACTTCTGACTCAGCTCTTTCTTCACCACGACAGACCGGTACAACGCCCACATCACTGCAGATGCAGCACCAATCCGCCTATCAACCTCACGCTCCAGTTTCCCCTCACTCGTGAACAAGACCCCGAGATACTTAAACTCCTCCACTTGGGGCAGGACCTCATCCCTGACCCGGAGAAGGCATTCTACCCTTTTCCGAATCAAGACCATGGTCTCAGATTTAGAGGAGCTGATTCTCATCCCAGCTGCTCTTCATGATCTCTAAAACTGCTAATTATCTAACCCCATATCAAAATAAAAGCGCCATAGCTCTGCTCTGATGAAAAATAAATGTTTTGTTATTTGTTAAAGAGTGGGAAATAGTATTTTTTTTTCAGTTTTGATCAAAGTGGGCCAAATAAAAGGCTAATAGTACATTTCGTTGTTATTTTGTTATTTAAGGAACAAGTTAGACTTTTATTTTCATGTCAGGTCATTTTTTTTAACTGCAGCAAGAAGCAGCGCTTGTTGCCAGGACACAATGGAGTAGGGTTCTGTCCCAAATGCCGTCCTCGTCCTCCCGTACTCGGTAGAAAAGACTTGCTGGTGTCCTTGCCAAGAACATACTTGTCTAGAACACAAGAACGTACTAGTGTCCTTGAGCATTGAGAAACGACCACAGGCTCACAAGGACATGGTGACATCATAATGTACCAGCTAACGTCATATGGTACCTCTTAGCCAATAGTGATAGAATAGAATTAGAATTCAACTTTATTGTCATTGCACATGTACAGGTGCAGGGCAACGAAATGCAGTTTGCATCCATCCAGAAGTGCTTTAGCCGTGAAATAGATGTATTACAATATATGTTAGCAATAATATAGATGTGTAAGTATATTACAGAAATGGATCTATTACGTATGTTATAATGTGCACGGTATGAAGTATTTTATGAATATTCTAAAACTATAAGTATGTACAGGCTGTAGTTAATACAAGCAGTCCATGAGTTTAACGTGGGTCATATGTCAGGAGGCAGAGTTCAGGAGTCTGACAGCTGTGGGGAAGAAACTGTTCCGGTACCTGGTGGTCTTAGTCCCAGAGGGCAGCAGGGTGATCAGTGCATGTGATGGGTGACTGGGGTCTCTGATGATTTTCCTAGCCCTTTTCAGACACAGCTTCCTGTAGATGTCCTTTATGGCAGGAAGTGGTGCTCCGGCGATGCGCTGGGCAGTTTTCCCAACCCTCTGCAACGCCTTCCGGTCCGAGACGGAGCAGTTCCCATACCAGACTGTTATACAGTTGGCCAGGAGGCTCTCGATGGTGCAGCGATAGAAGTTCACCAGGATGTCTGAGGACAAGTTGTTCTTCCCCAGAGTCCTCAAGAAGAAGAAGCGCTGGTGAGCCTTCTTGACCAGCTTGGATGGCAGATTTAAAGAGCAAGTCACCCCCAAATCAACTTATTTTTTCTGATAAACTATATAAATGTGTGTCTAATCGTGCTGCAGACACATGTAGTCGATAGTTTTGCACTTTAGTGCCTTTTAGTTAAAATTTTTATCTTAAAATTTTAATTTTCTGCCTAAAACTGTCAGTGTTGTGCCGTTGTCAGGTAAAAACTCTGCAATGCCTTTGAATTTAAATCTGCCATCGCTATTGGCTACGAGGCACCCTAGAACGTTAGCTGGTACCATATGATGTCACAATGTCGTTGTGATCCTGCATGTGTGCATTTGTCAGTGACTCCACCCTCTCAGGCTGCCTGGCAACAGCATTTGTTGCATTTTTCAAATGAAGTGGGAGAGGGGTAAGACTCTGGTAGGGGGTGACTTGCCTTTTAAAGTCAACTGCAGTGCAGAGGTTTTACCTGAAGGGGGAGCAACACAGACAGCTTTAGGCAGAATATTTAAATTTGAACTAAAATGCACTAAATAACTGACTACACGTGTCTACAGCACGATTAGACACTCGTTTATATAGTTGATCAAGAATGTAGATTTTGGGGTGACTTGCTCTTTAAATTTGTCAGTATAAAACATTATTTACTTCCCTACTATAAGCTTTAATGATTAGCGTACCTGAAATAATCACGTTTGGAAACAAAACCTGAATTCTTATCTGATATTAACAAAATAAATAGAATACAAAGTAGTACTTGTGTAAGAGCAGAATTATTTCAATATACTATTTTTACTCAAGTAGAAGTAAAAAGTTATCAGTAACACCAAGTACTCCATAAATGTTTAATCATAACAGCTGATTTCACTAGATTATTTTTTCCAGATAGATAAAAATGTAGTCATCTGCACATTCCAATAGTTTAAAGAACAATAAAAAAAATCTAAATAATTGAATAAGTAAAAGTTAAATGGCTTATTCAGGTTTCAGATACAAATATTTCCAGTAGGTAGTAAAGTAGCCTATAGGTGTTAGAACAGTCAGAGTACTTTTACTATTTACTGTAGACACTTAACACAGCAGCTCCAGTCAAATCTAAACCAGACTGTAAACGTGCGTTTGCTGCATTTTATGTCTAAAACCTGCTTTGTCTCCAGTCAAGTAACTAGAGGTGGTAGAGTAACTAGAGACTACTGTAAAAAATACTTTATATTAATTTTACTAAAGTATTTTCAGTTAAATTACTGTTTATACTTTTTTAAGGAAAAAAAACTACTCAAGTGAATTCATGTAACTGAGTACTACCCACCTCAGGGTTTACAAACATTTGACTAAAAATGAAATGTTTTAGTAGCAGAGTTACTCACACCACTACCTGTAGTGATGGAATTAAGTTAGACTGCGAAACATAATTTTTGAAATTGAACTACAATATTTTAGCTTCTCATCACATGATCATGTCTGACCTCTTCTTTCCACCGGAGCCATCAGCAGCACGTCTTGCTCGCGTAAGCTGCTGTTTGGCCCTTCCCACAAGATGCGAAGCAGCAGGGGAGCAGCTGTCACCGACCGAGCACGAAGTCACACGAGTGACTTCGTCAGTAAACACAACAAGCAGGAGAAAATTACAACATGGCTCCAAAAGGTTTGTGTTTTATGTTCTGTCCATTTTAGAATCGCCAATACGGACCTGAAAAACAAAGGAGACCGCTAGCTAGGTGATAACTTCTCACGGGGCCGCACAGTTAGTAACTTTTTTTAAAAGTAAAGCAACTGGAAGGCAGTACGTTCTTTATTCTGAAAATCTCGGGAGCTTCTCTCCATTTCCGCGTCCGATTTCCTGTCTTTCCTTCCCCAAAAATGTCGAACTTGACCCGTTTCAGAGGCGTCGCGCGTAGAAAATAGAACCGGCGCGTAAAGGCCGCGACATGCTGCTCCTGAGAAGCGGCCGACTCGCGCTGCTGACGGCTCCGGTGGAAAAGGTTCTGTTGACCACAGCGGTTCCTATCAGCAGCTATGACGTGCTGCTGACGGCTCCTGTGGAAAGAAGGGGTGACATTTAATTTTCTAAATGAAACAACCGCAGCAACACATTTCTGTTTTAAACCAGAGATTTGTACATAAATCCATCACAGCAGCTTCTAGAAATGACTTTATTAACAATAAAACATTCATTTACACCGTCTCTTCCGAAAAACAAAACAAGCCGTTTAGACTCATCACGGATGCATAAAAAGTATTTAACTAAAGGTTCTCGTCTCTCCTCCTCAAGTAGATGTTAAAATGGTGAAAAGAAATTAAAACAACATATTCATAAACGGATCCCAGCAGGCAAACGTACAACTCTGTAAAAGTTAGTGAGTCTCTAAAAGTCCAGAGATGATGATGTGTGATGCTGGTTAGGATGTTTAATCAGTTATGATGAGCTCATCACAGCCCCAGTCCTCGTAACTCCCATCAGGAAGGTACCTGCGGATGATGATGGGGATCTTTCTGCCCCTTTTGGAGAAAGAGAAGAAAAGATGAGTGAAGTAAAAAGTTGTTCGTTAAATAAAAACAAAGCCAAAAGTTGGTGCTTGTCAAAGTGACTTACTTAAGTTCTTTCATAGCGATCTGCAGAGGGTCAGTCTCTCCCTCCAGCTCCACCATGACAGGAGCACACATCCTGTTGGAATCAAGCCAGCACAGGAAAAACACTTTTATTCAGGCAGACTGATGCAACATGGGAATATGGGGTTTATAGTGGGCTAATTTCTCTAAAGCTGGGAAAAAAGTGACTCATTAGTTGCAGCCATCCAGCCAGCATTGGAAATTAAATACAAATAATTCTGCATGTAGATTCAAACGCTACTTTTAGCTTTAAAATGGGCTTTGGCATGCTTTTATTTTGAAAGAAGATGAGGCATTTACACAAGCAGCCGCCTGTTTCCAGGAATTTCTGCTGGTGGGAATTCAGAGAGCCCAAACTCAAGACAAAAACAGAATCAGGAGTTGATTTTACTGATTTACCTAAATAACCTTCTGTTGATACTAGGTGTTAATGCGCTATTTAGCATATTTAAGTTTTTACTTAACCCTCCCACTGTCTTCATGGGTGACCCCGCCAGGAAAGTTGACCACTGAGCAGGATGGATGGTTTATCCCTTGATGTCTACATGGCAGGGGTGAGGTGGTGCTCACTTCTCACCCCTGCCACATGGACCCAAGGGATAAACCATCATCCCTGCTCAATGGTCAACTTTCCTCGCGGGGTCACACCCATCAGGACAATGGGAGGGTTAAATGTCTTTTGGAAAAACGAAACTTTTACTGACATAAATCCCGAAATGAGCCCAGCTAATTTCACTGAACATCTCTAAATACTAAGTTTAGGGAGGAAACCTACTCTCAGTGAAAATGTGTTTAACGAGTTAAAGATCAAACACACTCAGCTTTAACCGTGATCTCATGTAAACACACTCACGCTATCTGCAAGGCTCTGGTCCCTAGCACTCTGGCCCGCTCGTATTTCGTCATATACGGTGTGGTGATCCTCTTCTGGTTGGCCTGCTGGCCTTCTCCTGCAGGTAGGATCTGCACATTCTCCTGATCCTCCTATTCACCAGAGCAAAACAAACAAGCTCAGACCAGGAGACAGCTTCATAAAAGTCTCAAGTGGTGATCCGTCTCTGTAATAACTCACATCTTCGACGTTCTCCAGGTCGTCTAGTCCTTCGTCCTCCTCTGCATAATCAAAATCTCCATCATCGAAGCTACGGAGTTAAAACCTTTGATCAGATATCTTAAACTTTAGGTGATTCATAACTTTTAACAAGCTTTATTGAAAAAGTACAAAAGTACGTAAACTTGGATGGGAGACTGAATAAAACAGGACGTAAGCAGCAATATACAGAATAGGCAAGGATCATAATAAACAATACCGTGTGATGCTAATCGAGTTAGCATCCCCGTTAGCTTACGTCGATTATACAAAATGACGCAGATTATTTAAACGATTTCTTTACTTACTTGTCTTCGTTGTCCGACATGATAAATTTTTAGAGTAGTATATATCCGTGTAAAATATTTTAACGTTTCTAGGCTACACTTTTGTAACCAACACGAATCCACATGAAGGTTGCACTGGCTGGTACGCTACTAAACATTCCGGTCGGCCAAAAGAACCTCGTTAGAGTTCCCTTTCCGGTCTGTCTTTTTTTTTTTTTTTTTTTTTGATGTTTCAGAAGCATCAACAAGGTTTACCGTTGCAACACTGCCACCTTCTGGAGTTAAGTCATTTTCCATTTAGTTTGATCTGTAAATTCTACCAACTGTAGGTTAAATAAAGGCTGAATAATCCCCATTCTCTCTCTCTCCACACTTTCTTTAATGAATTGTTATAATCAAGTGCTAAAGATTTAAGGAATTTGACACGTAAAAAAATATTATTTATATGTGCAATTAATCAAATTAATGCCAAATTATTTCACGAATAAATCATTACATACATAAATTGTTAAATGGGCCATGGATGAAAATTTTTAATTATTTTGTTTTAAATCCTAAAATGCACACCGACTCCATCAAATCCAAGGCCTGTTTATTGACTAGAGAAGACTGGGGCTGAATCCAGCGATGAATTAATGAGAATTCTTCCGGTCGCTTCCCAGGAGAAGTGTTCCAGGCATGTCTTGCCTGTAGGAGGCCCCCAGCTCGATCCAGGACATGTTGGAGGAATCATCATGTCTACTGGCCAGGGATTTCCATGGGGTTCTACCGGTGGACCTGACTGAGATCCTGGAGAGAGGACCATTTCGACTTCACTGCCAGCTCTGCCATGTAATAATTACTAAAATTGTACAGTTTAATGATTATCTGTAATTTTTACATCAAATAAATGTTTTTATTTATAGCACATTCATTAAAATCATATATACATAATTATTTCATATTTCAACCAACTAATGACACATTCAATTAATGATATAAATTTTTTATGTACTTTTGGCCCTCTATTTGGTTGTATGTCATGGCTAACGAACGTGGTCTTAAGCTTATTATCTGCACAAACAACATAAATCATCCCACGTAGAGCTAACGTGTCTGTCAGAACGTCACCCAAACATTCATGACGCGCCTATTTTAAAAGGTGACACACCACAAGGCTGCCACCTGATGGTCACTGTGGTACACTGCAATTTCCCTCATTTAACAGGGCCGGTTTCCACCAAAGTGAAATAAATAAATAAATAAATAAATAAATAAATAAATAAATAACTACAAAGGACCAGCTTTTTAGAATCAGAATCAGAAGGTTTTATTGCCATATGTGTGCCAAGTCACAACATTAGGAAATTGCTGCGGTATTTGGTGCAGAAGGTAAGAAAGAAAGAAAAATTTAAGAGATACGCAAATATAGGAAGTAATAAAACACTCATGATAAAATTATTAATGTAAAAAGTGGCAAGAATTAGAGAAGCAGCGATCTACCCCGTGCAGGTACTAATCTGTTTTTCAAGCACAGCATCGGATCACGTGACTGGGACCAACCGACTTGAGTGGGCTGCCGTAGGATTTTCGTTGGAAAGTCCAACTGCAGAGGGGAAGAAACTGTTTTTGTGGCGAGAGGTTCTGGTCCGAATGGATCTGAGCCTTCTGCCAGATGGGAGCGAGTCGAAGAGACCGTGTCCAGGGTGACACGAGTCAGCTATTATCCGACCTGCACGCCTCACTGTCCCAGAGGTGTACAGATCCTGTGTGGAGGGGAGTTTGCAGCCAATGACCTTCTCTGCAGAGCGCATGACACACTGCAGCCTCCTCGTGTCCCTGGTGGTGGCTCCAGCGTACCACACGGTGATGGAGGAGGTGAGGATGGACTCGATGATAGCGGTGTAGAACTGCCTCATCGACTGTGGTGATAGGTTGAATTTCTTCAGCTGCCTCAGGAAGTACATCCTCTGCTGGGCCTTTTTTCTGATGGTGGTGATGGTGGGTTCCCATTTGAGGTCCTGGGTGATGGTGGTGCCCAGGAAGCGACATCAGTCCACCATCGTGATGGGAGTGCCAGACAGACTCGTGTGACTTCGTGCTCTGTCGGTGACAGCTGCTCCCCTGCTGCTTCACGTCTCGTGGGAAGGGCCAAGCAGCAGCTTACGCGAGCAAGACGTGCTGCTGCAGTAACGTGCTGCTGACGGCTCCGGTGGAAAGAAGGGGTAACGCAGCACTAGCTGACAGACAGCATTACAGCGTGAAATACAGCTTCTCACCACAGCGTGACCCGATTCTGTGAGGAATTCTGTTCAGGAGGTCGCATTTCAGGCTCTCTTCACATCATATGTGACTTTGACTTTTACGTTATAACAACAATCACACACTAGGAATGTTATAAAGCACCTATATAGGACAGTTTCTTTTGTATATTATCTGACTTTATAAACTCCAACAACAAAGTGCTTCTATTTTTTCTGGCTAAATCTACCCAAGACACTGGCTGTCAGACTGATTTAGCTGCAAGAATGTACTTGTCCAGGCTGACATGAAGCCTTACCGGCGTAGCACAGGTGAATTATTTTTAATAATCTTTTATGTAAACATTTTATTATTACCTTCTAGTTTTAATTTGTTTTACAGATTATTGTTACACGTGATTTTATGCTCTTTTAAACATTTATAAATATGCTGCTTCTTTGATTTTTACATAGCCAGCCAGAAGAGCTCACAGCCGCTGCGTGTCTTGTGACACAGGGACCATGACGGAAATTCATCTTCCAGAAAGTCCCAGAGCAGCGTCCACACCCCTGAAAAGACCACGATGTGAGGTGTCTGCTGTTGATTCCAGCTTCCACCTCAGTGACAGTGCAAGCTCAGTGAACTGTTCAAGGTAAAAAAAATTAAAAAATTTCAGAATTCTTAAGATATTAACAATTAAATAAGTATGTTATTACATCATGACATCATGAAGGAGGCTACTGATTCTGGCCCTGTGACACTTGGTGGTGACGTGTGAGCTGATTCACCTGGTAAATAACTTTTACATTAAATATTTTGTTTTTGCTATCAAAAGTAAATTAACTAATAACCTGCATTATTGCAGGACACTCAGCAAAATATGGACTCTACACCATGAGGCAGGCGCACGTTAATAACTCTATAAGAGCACATAAGGTGAGCAACACCACATATTGTACACTGTCCTGGATTTGTTTTCTTTCTGCATCTCATCATTAGCCTGGCTGATCACCTGATAACTCCTGTCATCTGGTAATGACAGCATGAGGATGTCCTCACACACCTGTAACCTATCAGCTCATCTGGCAGAATAGAGAGAGAAGAGACAACACCACATCTCCTGTTCCTGGAAAGCCTTCAGCCATCCTTCGATGACTGAGAACCTCCATCAGCTCTGTCTCCTGTCTGCCTACAATTATTAAAATAAATATAGTGTTTGACAAGTTTTTTGTGCTGCCAAATATCTCCTTTTGATTCCAGTTTTGATATTTTAATGGATATTTATAAATTACATTAATTGAATTATCACATTGTCGCATGTTTAACTAGCTCTATTGTGATGAATTAAACTAGCACCTCACTGTTAAAAGCTCGTTTTAATTTCAAGCATGTTTAAGTATTCATGGACATGAACAAAAACAGGAAATGTATAAATTTAGATTTATTTAATTAATATAACAAATAAGGGGGAAAGAGTCATTGAAAGGCACATTCTTCTGGAAGCTCCTGATCCTGACGACACCAGCAGGAGACCAGCTGCAGACACCAGAGGACCTAGAACCGAGAGAGCAGCTGGTATCCGTAAATAAATAATGGAATCAGGGCAGTTTTAGTGGGCTGTTTGGGATTGTGTAACATAAATGAACACATTACAGAATAATTTTCTCATGGGGTAGTTTCATAACTTTGTATGCAGCAGACTGTAACTTGAGCCCAAGGCTCCTGGAGAGCTGCTATCCAGCACATTTAGGTGGTTTTCCTGCTTTAACAGGTTAGATTAGCTGTTAAGCAGCTCAGCTATTTGTTGCTGATAAAAACCAGGTGTGGTGAAACAGATAAATCCATATCTTTCGCAAATACAAGATAAATTTCCACTTCTATGCAGATGACACTCAAATCTATATCTCCTCTCAACCCGATGCTATCTTCCCCCCAGTCTCCCTATCCAGCTGTCTCCTTGAGATAAAATCATGGTTCTCTTCAAACTTCCTGAAACTCAACAGCAATAAAACCTAAATTCTACTCATAGGCAAACCCTCCGCGCTGAACATATCCCCCAGCATATCAATTAACATAGATAATTCCTCCATCCTTCCTTCTCCCCATGTAAAGAGTCTTTGAGTCATCCTTGACAGCACTTTATCATTCAAAGCCCACATCAATAACATCATTCGCTCAGCCTACTTTCATTTACGCAATATCAACCGACTCCGTCCCTCTCTCACTCCTCATGCTACAGCCATCCTCGTACACAGCCTAGTCACTTCTAGGACTGACTACTGTAACTCTCTTCTTTTTGGTCTCCCCCATAAATCCCTCCATCGGCTCCAACTCCTCCAAAATGCTGCTGCACGGATCATCACTCGTACCCCCTATAGAAATCACATCAGCCCTGTTCTTCAGCATCTCCACTGGCTGCCTATTGAACGCAGAATCTCATTCAAAATCCTGCTTCTCACATACAAATGTATCCACTGTCTCGCCCCTCCTTACCTCTCCGATCTCATCCATGTTGCTGTCCCATCTCGCTCACTCAGGTCTTCCTCTGCCATCCACCTTGTGGTTCCTCCTGCTCGTCTCACCACCGTTGGAAACAGAGCTTTCAGTCGCTCTGCTCCTCGGCTCTGGAACTCACTTCCTCCTGACATCCGAAACACTGACACCCTCCTCTCATTCAAATCCAAACTCAAAACTCACCTGTTCAACCTGGCTTACACTCTCTAGCCCACAAACTCTTTACTCTGACATTTACAGCATACTTTTAGTAATTTTATTGTTTACATGATTTTATTCTTATTTGTGTGTAAGTTTTATCATGTTTTGTGAGGTGACCTTGGGTCTTGAAAGGCGCCTATAAATTAAATGCATTATTATTATTATTATTAGCATTAAAACATGCTGAATACTAGCTCTCTAGGGCCGTGGAGCCAAACCCTGCAGCTAATCTGATGTTATGGCTAAC